CCTGACATAATGGAGAGCACGTCTCCATTGCACGCCAGCATCCAACAGCCTATGCTGACACTGCCAGTGTTACATCTCCATCCACTCCCAGATCGATGGAGATGGCTTTCCCAAAGATGGAAAGTGAACAGTTTGATCACTTTTGTTACGAAGTGATGTTAATAAAAACGACATTCCTTTTACATATTAGAAAAATAAGCAATATTAATTGCTTACGCCCCATCGTCCCCTGTGATCGTTGTATCTTTGCAGCGAGTGAGATTATATAACAATGTTTGCATGCTTCCAAACTGTATGGAAGCACCTTTCTTGAGTTTTCTTGTCATTGCTAATTTCTCCATTGAAACCAATGGGAAGACCCAAAGTTTTGAAGTTTTGGCTATGGCATACGAGTCTACTCTTCTTAGCTGCATTTTGCATTTATGACTTTGTACCGAGTTCCGTCACTCCGGTAAAAAGAAGAGAACTGTTTGATCATCTCCTCCAGTCCTTTTAACAATTATCAACTTCTATGTAGCGCTATGTTCACTAAATTTTGGTAGAATTACCATTGGGCCTTTGTCTGCTGTTCTGTGACTCAGTTTAATGCGTTTATACTTCAGTAAAAATAAGTAATATGTTTGATCATGTACATAAATAACATAATAGTAAATGTATGCACATCTAGTACTTACATAAATAACATGACAGTAAATGTATGCACATCTACTACTTACATAAATAACATGACAGTAAATGTATGCACATCTAGTACTGTAAGGTGGTGCTATGCCACTACATTTTGGCAGTCCGTTTGAGAACAGTTAATATCTGATGTTTCAAGTCCATATCACCAGTTGTGTGTTTGTTAGCACTACCAATTGCAAGGATGAGAAAGATTCGAATTCTATAATATCTCACAAGATAGAAGTTACTTCATTGCTGGAAAATGAGTGGCATGGGCTTTAGATTTATAGTACTTGAAAGTTGAAAATATACTATTGGATGCTTAATGTTGATATGACAATGTTCTTTTGTGAAGGTGTCCGGAGAATTTGGCAAGGAGCTACAGTGCCCATTCCGCTGATGGTTGTGAGTTATCTCAACAGATACAAGTTTTCAGAGGAAAAGGAGTCTTTGCAGACTTGCTTCTTCTACTATTAGTACATCCTAGCCATGGGAACTTTTGTAGACTTGCTTATTTCTGATATTACTAGACTGTAATCATCAATAGCCGTGAAGTTTGTTGGGTTATTATGGATCTGGTGGTGATGTTCGATGCTGCTCCGGGCTACTTGCTTACAAGTTTGCACTGGAGTATTTGTGTATACATGATGGTAGAATTTGTGCCCTGTTTGTAATACCCTGTTGGAAGAAAATGCTTCCATTTCATGAGACATTAATCTGGTGATGAATTGGTATGACTGCCGTCGGTTTGCATTCTTATGTTGTATGCATGGTAGTAACGTTCTGCAAGTGGGCTATGTATGCGTTCCATTTCGAGTATCCTCGTGGTTATGTTTATCAGGAGTGGTTATCTACTGCCTTCGTGGTCGTTGGGTCCTCTGTTAGAATGCTAACTCTACCTGGTGGTATGCTTGTATTGTCGTTTTCACCCTCATATTTGCTGCTGAACTTCGTCAGCATTTTGAACATTATGATGATTAATGCTTTGACCAGGGATACGAATTCGCAATCAGTGTTAGATATTTGGTAAATAAATTTGAATTGAATATCTATGTTACAAAGACGAGCTGAACCATTAAGAGGCCGCACTAGACCGGTTTGTTCATCAATTTGTTATTCTGAATTTGACAACAAAATGCATGTATAAATTGAAGAAGCCCGCTAACTTTGATTGTGTTGTGTTTTATGTTGAATAAGTGAAGACAATTTTTTCTCACAAATCTTAATGTAAGAAAGAATTAGCCTAAAAAGCAACGGTCGAGAAATAGCTTAGACATTTTTATCCAATTTTTTGTTTACAAGATTCGCTAACCGTGAAAAAAAGACATGTGCCCTTTTTCTTTCATTTTTACTAAAATCCAGTCAACTGAATTTCCATTTCGATCTCGGTAGAATTCTCGATCCTTGAATCTTGTCGGCAATCGCAACGTGGGCTGTCTGTCGTGGATGAGGTGTCTGCTTGCCTTTGTTTTGTGTTGTTGAAAACTGTCACATACTTTACCCAATTTTTTTTGTCGACAGTAATATCTGAAGACACTTCTTAGATGTGCACGATGGATTGTGGTCCATAGCGTCATTTTTTCACGACATTGAACTGCAACTGTATTTTTTTCATCTAGTTATTGGGTGTGTTTTCCATTTCAAACAGGTTATTCATCAAGATCTATTTCCAGACGGAAGGATATATCATGACTTTCAGTTGCTTTTGACAATATTGTCTTTTCCTTTGAAGCCGGTTCTTCATGAAAATCTACCTAATTGTGCAATCATAATAGTTTGACACCAGTTTTGATACTTTCGAAGATCCCGATTGGGACTCAACTCTTATTATTATGTTTGGAAAAAAAAACAGTACTCCCTTCGATCCATATTAATTAACGCAAGACTAGCGCCACTTAATATGGGTCGGAGAGAGTAATAAATTTAAACATTTCGCCATATCTTTTTCTTCTTTGCACGGAGGGATTAACTGCCCTACTTTCCAGGGCTGAAAATGACGGGGACCTCGTGGGGGTCAAAGTTTGTCGTGATGCACCAGCAGTGTCAAAAAATTTTGTTTGCAGATGATTCACTCATTCTAATGAAGGCCAAAGCTACCAGAAGTGGACATATGCTATGATTCTTTCCCTTCAGAGGGATGGGTTGTCAGATTTGGCTTGAATCTAGCCAGAACCATTGGATGCAGTAAGATCGTGATCAACTCAGATAGCATGGAGGTTGCAGAAGCTTTTTTTTTAAAAGGTTTTCGCCCCGCTTTATATATAAAGCAATGATTAACAGCATCCGATACAAGAGCACACCCACGCACACACGCACCCAAGGCAGGATACATAAGCGCTGAGCGCGGCAACCCAAGCACTACACTGAGAGGTGAAGCCGCATATGACGAACCGTGGGCTCCAAGGCGGCACCTTCAGGAAGGGAACGACACTAGGGCGCCGCCACCGTCCGATCCGAGGATCAGAGTTTCTCCTAGAGCACCACGATGGGCAATGAGAGCCGCGAAGACGCCTTCAAGAAGGAAACGAGTTTTGCCGCCGCTGGTCCGTCCAAAGATAAAGCAGGTTTTCACCCGGCCACCACTCACCACCACCGAACGCCACACCCCGGCTACCACGCCGCCCACACGGCCGTGGCGACCGGACATCACCAAGCCATGGGCTCTGCCCACGAGCACCGCGGAACCACCACCAGGGCTGCCGCCCCGGCATCCAAGACCTTGACACCACCTCACCCGAGATCCGCCGCTACCCCAACCAAAGCACATGGACGGCCCCCAGTGCCGAGACCCAATAGGCCGGCCAAACTTGGCCTTCATCGACCCGTTTTGCGACACCAGGCGCGAGACGAGCTCGGTCCTGCTGGCGGGCGCGAGACGAGCATGGTCCTGCCGCCGGTCACGAGATGAGCTCGGTCCTGCTGTCGGGCGCGAGACGAGGTCAGTCCTGCTGCCGGGCGCGAGACGATCTCGGTCTTGCTGCCAGGTGCGAGACGGGTGATGGACCGCAGCGGGGGAGGGCCAGCCCTTTGACGAAGATAGCGGCCGGACATCGCGAAGATGGCTCGAAGGCCGAATCAGGCCGCCTACAAACGAACGGACGCCAGAAATCCAGCCGCCGTCGCCGCAGGCAACCCGCCGAGCCGCCGTGGTGCCGGCGCGACGAATGGAAGCCTCCACCAGAGGGCTGAGCCGCCTCGCCGCCACCGCCCACAGCCAGAGCAGCAGCCACGCCGGGCAGTGCCCCAACCCGCGGCGCCCACCGGAAATCGCCAGATCCGACCGGCACACACCGCCACCACCGCCACCAAGCCGCTAATGCGCCGGTCTCCTCGTTGTCAGCAGCCGCCACCCGACGCCCAGGGCCGCCGGGCCGCGCCGTCGGCAGCCCTCGTCGCA